GGGGTAGGGGGACAGGGGCAGGGGCAGCTGAGCAGATCCCTGTGGCCTCTGGCTTCTGTGGACGCTCAGAGCCCTGGGGTCGTGTCCTCGGCCCTGCTCCCCAGGAGGGCAGCACCCAGACCCTGGCCCCTCCCGGCTCCGGGCATCAACCCAACACCAGGGACCCCGTGGGGGGGGGGGGGGGAGGCAGCCGCTGTCTGAAGGGAATTAAACAGGAACACACCGTTTGGAAAGAGGTTTTAGTGAGGCCGCCCGGGCTCCCGCCCCAGGCCACTGGCACTACTGAGGAGACACGCCGTCCTCCAGGGGCCTCGGTGGGGTCAGGGAACTGTTGGGTCCCGCGAAGAGGCAGCTGAGCTTGGGCTTCAGGTCGTTCCACACCTTGCTCATCTGGAGGAGAGGGAGCACAACAGGGTGAGAAACCCCCGAGGAGCCCCATGCCACCAGACCGGACCAGGGGGGCAGCTGGCCCTTCCCCTCGCCACATCTCAGCCCCTTCCTCCACAGGGGACACTGAAAGCGGAGGAACGGTGTGCGCCGCACGCGCGCCCGGCAGGTGGGCTCCGCCAGGACCGGCCTCCCGGTGCAGCGGGTCACACCGGACAAGCCGCGCCAGAGAGCAAGTGGGGGTAAGACATGCAGCAGCGCTCGCTCACTCGCACGCTGGTATCCGGCTTGAGGAGCGGACACCAGCGGCACGGGGAGGAGGGCGGCTCGGAGTCAGCCTCCCCAGACCCGAGCCCACCCGCACGGGGCCCCGCGCGGGCCTCCACCAGAGCAGGAGAGGCCCACTCCTCTCTGGCTGACACGTCGGGACGCTCCCCAGGGATGGGGACGCGGCAGCCTCAGATGCTTGTAGCCCATCACCCTCCGGGTCCCATGCCGATCCTGGAGGCCGGGCAGGCGCACAGCACACACCGTCCTTCAGCAACGGAAACTTGCCACAGGGATTAAACACGCCGAGGCTGGAGAGTTCTAACAGGCGCAGAGCCGGGACTGCGGCCCAGGCTTTAGGGACTCTGGCCTGAGCATCCCTAAGGGACCAGGGAGCTACAGGTGGCCACAGGCAGACGCGCCCCCCCCGCCCCCAGCAGGTGACTGTGCTGCTGGGGCTGCCACCAGGACTTGACCCGACCCAGCACACACCACGTCAGCAGCCGCCAGCAAAGGCAGAACCACACGGGGACTGTACACGAGTTTCTTCAACCCTAGACGCACACCCCCTTCTAGGCTGTCTGGAGAGGGACACGCCTGCCCCCGTTCACGGAAGCGCGAGGAGTCCAAGACAAGCTAGCACTACGCAGCTCTGGGTTCCTGGGGCCAGCAGGTGTCCACGGAGCTTGCCACGTCTCCGGCCAAGCAGACGGCTTGTTCCCAGCAGTGCAGGAGCCGCCGGCCGGAGGACGCGGACCCGGGGTCTGCGCCAACCCCTGCCTTCTCTCACCGACGCCCCACCCTCCCTTCTCTCCATCCCAGCGGACGCTGCACTTTACCCGACTCCAGAATCCCTCCAGGAGAGGAGGAACGCTTCCATCGTGGTCTCACGCTGCCCCCCACCCTCCAAGAATCGTGAGGACAACTTTGCCACTGCTGTTCTGCCTACGTGTGAGACAGCAGACGTGAACCCTGCCTGTTTACAGACCCCGTGCTCCCCAGCAATGCCGCAAGGCCGGCTGCAGGAGTGCCAGGCTCCCAGACAGCGAGGGGCTGGCCAACCCACCTCCTTGTGCCCTTGGATCTGTGAGTTGACAAAGGCCCCGAGAATGTGGGAGGTGAGGGGCAGGTAGACGTGGACCAGCTGCATCTCCTGGTGCAGGCAGTACAAGGAGAAGTAGCTCCGAAGCTCCAAGGTCTGGATGGCATTCTCCTGCTGCAGAGAGAGGAGCCGCCCCTTGTACCTGGCCCAGCAGACGCTGCAGAGCGCCACACCAACACACGGCCTCTCCCCGAGCCCGGGGCCTCAAGCCCTTCCCTGCATCAGCACTGAGGAAAATTCCAGGCCACTCACCCCAACCAGGCGCCCGGAGGGCTCTACTCTGGGCACCGCAGGGCCGCCTGCCCACCCCCACCGCCGGCTACACCGGCCCCAGGCAGTGACGCGCCAGAAGCTCAGGGGCCAGGCCCCAAAGTACAGCTCCAGGGTCCAGCCAGGCCAGGCCTGCAGCCCCGGGCCGCCCGCCCCCGCCCCCAGTAGCACCTCGACGATGCGGGACTCCAGCTGCTCCGCGGCGTCAGGCTCGCGGCTCTGCACGGTGGTGCTCAGCATCTGCCTCCTCGTCAGGCTGTACTTGTGCAGTGCACGCTGGTGCTTGTGCAGCACGCCCTTCTCATGCCGTTCACACAGCTCCTGTGGGGGGGGGGGGGGGGGGGGGGTTGCACCTGCGCTCAGCCACCAGCCAGCCGGGACCGGAGCCGTCCTCTCCGGGGGAGGCAGCGGGAGGAGACCGGGAAACAGACACAGGCTTCGAAGTCAGCGCTGTTCATATGCGAGCCCCTCCTCTTTAGAAACCGTTCACACGCACTCCCACTCACTGCACACTCAGGATTCGTGGAACGGGATGGTTCAGGTGACGGGCCCCGGGTGAAACCAGGAGGGGCTGCAGTGCAAATCGGCACCACCAACCGAAAACCCACATAAACTAGGTCCTATCCACAGAGGAAGACGGACAGGGAACACGGAAGATGGGTCTCCGACTTTTCCGCTGCCCAGTTTCAGGAAGCCCATGTCCCTCCAGCAGCAAAAAGACCCGTCTCCAAAAGGAAGATGCACTGGCATTTCCCTGGAGCCGTGAAATAGCCCCAATCAGTAATCTTGTGGGAAATACTGGCCACAGAATCACAGCGCTGGGATCTCAAGGGGACCTCGCTACCATCCAACTTAACAGAGAAATCCCTTCTGGGACCTCCTCAAAGTCCTGGGGCCCCTCTCCTTGAGCTCAGCACGAAGCATTCTCTGGCTTCACAGACAATCCAGCCCATCACCGAAGCCGACACGGTTCAGAAGCCAGCCCTACACAGAGCTGGAGTCAGACTTCCCAGAACCTCTGCCCACAGAAGAGGCAACCTCCCTCAGTGCTAGGCCAGCCCCTCACGTATGTGTAGGGAGCGAGCATATTTTCTCACACACATGTGCAGTCACACGTGCACACGCACACACGTGTGGGGACACACGTATACGCACGCGTATATATAAGGTGCTCATGCATTCACACACATGCACACGTGTGCACACACTCACACATACATACCACACATGCACACGTGTATGCACGTCTCTACGTGTACACACACACGCACTCATGCACATGCACACACACACTCACACCCGCCATTCTCAGACCAAGGGAAGACAGAGGCCTGTCTGCACACCTGCTGGGGCCACAGCCCAGAGCACCGGCAGAACCCAAGGGGAAATAACTCTGGCAAGACTGCCTACGGCCCATCTTCCCTCCACAGCCCTGGCTTCGCAGCTCTTCGTCCACTCCTCTGGAGTCACACCCCTGAAAGATCATGGATCCTTCTCAAAACCTCTGTCCTTGGCCAAGGAGCAGCCAGACTCACTTTATAGGACTGGAGCAAATCCAAGAAGAGGTTCAATTTCTCCACCACGTCATTCTCTTCCTGTTTGCCCTAGAAAACAAGGGTGGGTGACCAACACCGAGCACCACAGGACCCAGAGCCCCGGCCAGGGCCCCCCATACACAGGCCTGAGCTGGCTCTCCCCCCCACAGCCACCAGCCAGCTCTACAGAAGAGCCACCTTCCCACACGAAGGCCCCCCAACATAAGGCAGGGAAGCCACAGGACCCGGCGGCTGGTTGAAAACTGCATCCTCAGTTCCCAAGGTCATGTGCCCACACCTTCAGTCCCCAAGGTCATGTGCCCACTCGTGCTTGTCGCTCCACAGCACTGGGCCTCCCAGCATGCCAAAGCCACGGTGCGGTGGGGCTGGGCTGGCTTCCTGGGACCCCCCTGTTCTAACACCGTGCTCACAGCCACACGTCCTGCAGGGCTCTAGAGCACAGCTCATGTCCCTCAGGCACCGACACTTGCCGAGCACCTTGCCCGGGTGTTTGCTGAACACTTCCTAGGCATTCACCAAGCACCTCTCAGCTGTTTGGTGAGCACCTCACCTCCCCCAGGTGCAGCGTGAGCTCCTCAGAGAAAAGAGCCCTTTTCACAACCTCTAGAGCTCCAGCTACGGCACAGCATGAAAAGCTCAGCTCAGGAACCACGCATCGGACTGTGTGTGTAGAGGGTGCAGCCAGGAGGCAGAAGATGGGAAGACAGGGGGAGGGAACGAATCTTGACCGCGTTACAAGCACTGCCCTGGGAGCCAGGGGCTCCTGCCCGGGTTCTGCCACCAACTCAGGGGACCCGGGACTCATGCCCGCTGAGCTCAGAGGTTCCAGGCTACTCATTCCCACACCCACAGCCAAGACTCGAGCCAATAAGGTCACAGGAAAATAATAGGCACGTTCCAGGTCTTCTAAACCTGGAAGGAAAACACCAGAGGTCCACAGGTGCCCTGCTCCCGCCTGACTGAGCGGAGGGCCACAGGAGGACGGAGGTTCCTCGGTCTAGCAGCAGGTCCCGTCACTGGCTAAGTCCCAGTTCTCGTTCAGACCCCAAAGCACCATCCTGTCAGCATGGAAAAAACAGCCCCCTCTGAGTCTCCGTTGTCCAGCCAAGATATAGCGACCTGGGGCCCCTAACAGGTACGGGGAGAATAAAACCAGGGCGTGTGGAAACGGAGTGAGGAAAACCAGCCCCTGGATGTCTTTCCTCGCGCAGTGAGAGTGAACAGAACCCCAGCTGTGCTGGATGAAAGTCCTGACGGTCGTTTGATCCAGTTTCACATTAAAACTATATTAATTTCACTTCAACGTGAAAACCACGAGGAATAGTCAGGAAGTGGCACTTCCTCAGACATCACATTTCAAAGCAGCATCCGCCAGCTATCAGAGAATCTCAGAGCTTGGGGGTCAGCTTCAAACTATGAACTTTCACCACATCAGAAGCCTGAACCCTCTCTCCCACTTCAAAGGCAGAAACACAGCGTCCAAAGCTCAGTCGGAAAACACAGGAGATGACAGAGTCAGGAGTTTCCGTTCTGCGGGACACCTGGGGATTCACCGTGCACCCCACACGCTCTCCCACCCCTGCCATGAGGCTACCTGTTGAACTGGGAGCTGTGTGGGCCCAGGAGACCTGGGCCCTGAGAGGGACCAGGACAGCTTCAATTTTAGGTTTCAAAATGAGCTTTGAGGAAAGTCCAACAGGTTCCATGAAAAGTGTCCGAATGACCTCATCCAGCCCTTGCTTCTCACGGACACGGAACAGGCCCAGGAAGCCACATAACCCGAGCACAGGCCCAGCACAAGACACTGCCGCCGCACCTCCCACAGCACAGTGCCAGTCCTCCCTGCGGTGGACACGTGGGCACCTGGCAGGCCTGGAGAGGGACTGGGCCCGGCGCCAATTCTGAGAAATGCCAACAACACCCTACGCTCAGTTTCTAACAGGAACACACAGGCACCGGGACCACAGAGGAAGAAAACCCAGGACTTTCCGTACCAGCCAATGAGATCAAATTTCCTTTTCAGAACTCAGAGACGTCCTGGGCCTCTGAGGGCCCCACCTTGAGCCTGAAAATCCCCCAGCTCCACGGTCAGAGTCCACCACCGTCACCGTGTTCTCCAGCCTGCTACTAAGGAGCTTCGAGCGTCAGACAGGCAGCAAGTCCCTTCACAGGTACACCATTTTAATTTATTTACTACCAGCCTAAAGACCATTTCCCCAAGAACCAGGCCGCAAACACTCACCCTCAAAGTCACGTAGGGGTTTTACAGCATCAAAGCACCCAGAAGAGCCTCTCCGTCTGCCAGTAAACTGTGGACCTTCAGATCAATCCCCAAGGACCACAAGGCCCCTGCGCGTGCAGCAGAAGCATTTCCGGAGGCTAACTGGGTCTCTGCGGGGAATGGAGATGGGCTCTCTCGGAGCTCCGGAGCTTACTTACTGTCCTGATAAGTTATCAAGGAACCAAGTACTTGCTGACTAGGATAGCAAAGTGGGAACTACCTGGTCCACACAGAAGCATGCGGGGAAGTCCGAGATTACATTTTCAAGGACAGATTATAGCTTCTCATCTCAGCAAAATCAACCCTCAAAGGACCAGCACCCAGTCTGTCATGAGCAACCATCTTCAGAGCGTCAGGGGCTCACAGGGAGCCACTCGGAACAGATGGGGAGGGACATGCAGTTCCAACCAAGACCAACACCCACTCACTCTGGACAGAGGACTCCAAAGTCCACGTAAGAAGAGGTCCCTGCGTCCGTTAGACAGGGACAGGTGCTCTTCAGAACGGGCACCGAGCACAACAACGTCACTCACCTGCTGGGCAGCTTTGTCAGCAAGCAGTGCAAATTCAACGGACAGGCCTCTCAGCGCCTGTTTAAGGGACCCCCACGTGCTGCTGTTCAGAGAGGCCCAGGAGGGGAGCGGGGTCGTGTCAGACCCCAAAGCACTAAGGGAAAAAGAAACAGAGGAGACAAGACACTCAAGGCCTGGGAGCCAAGCTGGCCATCCAGCATGACATGTCATCCCAGGGCAACCTCTGCCAACGAAGAGCGGTCCCTGGGGACATCTGAGCATCTGTCAGAAAGGCAGGACCTCAGTCCCCGCCCCAGGCCTCCTGAGCCAGTTCTGGTCAACAAGCCCCCCAGGGACGGGTGTGCACATGTGGGCCTGCGAGGCAGAATTCTGGAGACCGCGGAGGAGGGTGCGTTCCTGGCTGACCGTCCGCTGCCCCTCCACCCAGAGGAGCGTGAACAGTTCGTGCCATCCTTTTCCAGTCTAGTCCTGACAGCAGGGAAAACGCCGTGTGACCTACTGGCACACACTCGTCTGTTTAGGGATCCACCCTTCCCTGCCTAAATTCCCATTTTGTCCTTCTAAATTCCATAACCCATTTCCCCAACCCTGTCCTTCGCCTTCTAACAGTGAAACTGGTCAGAATGGGCGTCGCTATGGTAAAACGCCTTCTGCCACGAAGTCTGCAGATCCCTCCCCCGGCGGGGCACCTGCCTCAGCTCCTTCCCGAATATGAGAAGGTCAGCAGCATTGTCGATGGCCCTCGATGCAATCCGCTCAGCCCGATCACGAAGCTTGTGGAAGCTGTTGTAGATGTTCCGAATGAGCTCCCGGCTGACGGCTAACTGAGTCTGGATGTCGGCCGGGAGGAAGTCCTGGCAGGGAGGACAGCAAGGCCGCGCATTACTGGCCGTGAAGGGCCTTTTGGAGACAATGCCCATCAGGGCAGGCAAGAAGCCCAGCAACGGAGCAGCTTGTGGGCCCAGACGCCAGGCCATGTGGGGGCCTCACGGGGCCTCCCTTCTTGTCCAAAAAAAACCAGAAACCAACATCACACATATACCACAAACACTAAGCTGAGTGGCCCCAGGAGATGGCGATTCTAGCGTCCACTGAAAGTGGACCCAACTGGAGGTCCTGCCAGAACGCACACTCCAGTAATAACCATCAAGCTCCAAGTGACTCTCCGCATGAGGGCAAGTCCTCCAGGAAGCCGCATTTCTCCCCCAAGAGTCACTTTTTACCAGCTTTACTATTAACTACCTATTAACGTGAACTCTTCTTTAACATTAACATTAACTACATAACGCTTACAAGATAGGAAGCTTAGAGAATGGAGTGGGCACATGGGCAGGAGTCCGTATTTCCGTATGGAGAAGCAGTTTAAGAAGGAAAAGGAAAAAGCTACCCAGTAGCCACCTTAATCCGCCTTAGAGAAAGAACAGATTTGCTAAATTTTACAATAAACCAATGCAACACTCCCATCCCCTCTGAAATCCGAGAGGCTAGTGACCCAGCGGGAGTCCACCTGAATCACAAAAAAAGCCTCGGGGATGTGGCAGGACAGCTGGCCGGCTCTGTGGCCAGACCATGTTCAGCCCCCTACAGGTGGGCTACTTGGTGGTCTGGGACCTTGGCAGCCTCTCGGGGGCCCGTCTCCCCATCTGCAAAGTTGGCAGGACACCAGCTGTGCGTTTGAGCAGGTGAAAGCAGGTGAAATGAGGAAACCATGCAGCAGGCCTCAGCGTCATCCCCAGCATGCAGTCAGGCATGGGGTCAGGTGGTCACTGCCTGGACTGGAGGGGGCGCGTCACGACGAGCAAAGTACCTTGGCCCGAGGAGCCAGCTTACAGTTCATGAATTCATCTCCAACATACTGAGCTGATTCCTTTAACTTGTTCTGCACGTCCTGCAAAAGGAAACAGAACAGCCAGCTCTACCAAGCTGCAGAACAGTCTGTACGAGACCACGGAAGTCAGCAGGAAGCAGGATGTAGGCCTTCCTCAAAGGGAACGCGTTCCCATTGAAGGGCTGTCACACAGGCATCCCAGAATATCTCGTCACTGTGTCTCCCAGGACTTCTTCCCATTGACTTTAACCTTTAGGGTGGCCTTCCACAGCCAGGAAAGCCTGACCTAACAACACCGGCACTGCAAAACCTCCAGCTCCAGAGGGCAGCTCTCTCTCCAGAAACACAGGAACTCCATCCAGAGCAGAGAGGACCTCCATGCCATAGACGTCACATCCTGGTGGGTCCCACCGCGTGGGGCACAGAGACGAGCTGAGGTGTCCTCCTTCCTTCAGACAGACCCACAGGACCCGGCCCACAGAGCCCCGGGAGGGCCCGTGGGCAGCACACAGGCCTCCTTGGCAAAGCCATGTCCAAGACTGGGACCCACAAAGAGCCATGGGAAATACAGGCAGAGAGCCTAACCTGCAGCTCCTTATGAGTCAAGGAATTCTAGAATTTCAGAGATGCCTTGAGGATCATCTGTCCTAATTTTCTCATTTTACCAGAGGAAACGGAGTCAGGGAGGTCCCAGGGACAACACCCTATCTGTGTGAGGGCAAAGGGTCACACCTCCAGGACAGGGACGCCGCCCAACTCTGTGCCCAGTGTGTGCAGCTCCCAGGTCCCCCCGCATTCCTCTCTGGCAGTAAAGATCCCTGTGCTAAAGGAACCTGTGCACCCAGGGTTCAAAGGCCCACACTCCCAGCTAAAGGGCAGAGGATCACAGCAAGCTTTCATGGGGTGCCTGCTTCACGTCCCATAAGAGGGGCGTCAGTGGCAGGTACCCCTGAGCCAGCAGCAGGAAAGCCTTCTCAAGGAGACCCCAGACCCCTCGGTCTGCCTCTGCGGCTCCACAATCTGTGTCCTGCAGTGGGAGAGGGTGGGAATGAGCCCCCCAGGGCCCTGCTCGAGAAGGGGGTTCCCTCGGACAGAAGACGACCCATCTGATTCCACTGGTAAAGTGGCCCTGTTGGAGCCCCTACCTCCACCCCTCTCCCTAGGCAAGCAGGCTGCCCTTGGGACAAGACAGGGACTTCCTCCCCAACTGGGAACAAGGGCTTTGCCTCGCTCCCCAAGGCTAACGAACACTGCACAACAGCTGACAGACACGGCCGCTTGGTTTCTAACAGAAATTAACATCCACATGGAGACGGTCTCCCAGGATGTGGGTCTATCCTGCAGCTCTGTGAAAAAGACTTCACTCAGTCTTCCAATGGCACGTCATCAATGTGGCCTCATTTGCTTTCGGGGAAACACCCATTGCAATCTGGGGTCTCCGGCACTTCCGTAACCCGCCCAAGCAAAGCCTTCAGGGCGACGGCGCTCAGAACCTCCAGCTGGACACACCAAATCCTGCCAAGCCAACGCCAAGGATGCCTCCTGACATCACAGCCCCATTATCTGGGAAGGAAGTAAATCTCACTTGGCGCAGTCACGTGGGCAGGAGACTCCATCGGGGCACCGAAGCCGAGGAGAGCAAGACAACAAGCAAATATAAGAATGCCAGGCAGTGTGGGGAATCTCAGGCCCCACCCGCGACAGTGAAGTACTCACAGGGCCACTGAAGGACAGGAACAGCCGGAGGGCCACGTCCTCGGAGAACGGGGGGTGCCGGGCCACCAGGTTAATGAAGCGCCTCAGCGCCCTCCGCCGGGCCTCGATGAACTCCCGGTCGGCTGCGGGCAGAGAGCATGGGGTCAGCAAACAGGCTGGGCAGCAGCCCCACCCCAGCCCCCCGCAAACATGCTCCGCGGTGCGGGAATCTACCGGGAAAAGCATGGGTCCCTTTTGTTTGAACCAACAGTGATCCACCTCTTGCAGACCCCCAACAGGCAAGATGGGCACTGCTCACTGTGAAGGCGCAGGTTGTGCCGCACTCCCCCCACCCCACCCACGGCCGACCCGGCCTTCCTGGGCGCGTCCCTTGCCAGCCAGCCCCCCAGCTTTACCTCCCAGCACTCTCTTGGGCGGCAGGGCCGGCACCATGCGGTAGGGAAACTTCTGCAGCAGCATGTCGTGGAGAACCACGAAGTCATTGTACCGTCTGTACACGGAGGACTTGAAGCGCTGCAAGAGGACGGAGGGCCCTGTGCTCAGACGCCAGAAACCTCCCCTGTCCCCCACCCCCGCCACCAACCAGAGCCCGCGGGAGCGGTGCGGCTCCGTGCCCCACCCTGCCTCACCAGGCTCTGCCGAGGACAAGCCCCGTCCTCCCCGGCGGCGCTCACCCAGCCTCCCACCGCCGCACAGCACGAGCGTCCTGCCCCACCGCCCGTTACTCGGGCTCTCCTGAAGAGACCGGACTTGGGGCAGGAGGCTGCGCCTGCACAGCGGGGCCCACCCCCCATTAAAGGCAGCTGACGTGAACGATGCCCTCTTCACTGCGTCCCACGGGCGCCCTCCCGAACACGGTCACGCAGCGCCGGCGCAACACGCACGACTACCTCCTGGGAGAGCGCCGACCGTCGCGGCAGACCAGACACCGCCCAGAAGGCCGGACAAGCGGACGTCAGACTCAGTGCCACCGTACGCCTGTCACGGACAGACCCGTGGGCTCCGCGAGCACCAGCCCCCACGCGCAGAGGAACCCGACCTGGCTCCATGTCCGAGCTCACACGACACGCGCGTATGAGCATCGATCCTGGAAATCACACACGCTGTACTGCTTGTGAATAACGCTGCTCAGGGGACAGCAGCCAGTCTGACCCCGACGACCAGACGCCCTGGGGAAGCAGAGCTGTGCACACAGCACAGGGGGGCCGGCTGCCAGGGGTTCAGGGCAGAGGGATGAACAGGTGGGATGCAGGGGACCTTCAGGGCCGGGAACACTGTGGGACACGTGGCGGTGGATACCAGCTGTCACCGTCCAGACCCACAGAATGTGCGCCCACCCAGAGGGACCCTCGCACCGACTGTGGTCTCTGGGTGACGACATGTCTGCGTGGGATCACCGATCGTGACAAATGCCCCGTCTGGGGGACACTGATCATGGGGCAGCCTGTCCTGGTGGAGGGGAAGCAGGGGGATATGGGAAATCTCGGCTCCTTCCACTCAATTCTGCCATGAACCTCAAACTGCCCCCCAAAATGTAACGTCCATTAAAAAAACTCCATAAGCTCTACAAAGAGAACCACAAAGTCAGGCGGCTGCTCTGCTGGGGACAGCACATGTCGTGCCACATCTGCAACCACCACGGCCTCTGGTTAGCGGGGTGCTGCTGGGGGTGGAGCAGCGCATCCCAGGAGGGAGCCCGGGCAGAGCAGGGACAACAAACTTCCTGAAGAAACGGGGCACCTGAACGACACGGGAAGGGCCAGCTGCCAGCGCCCGTACAGGGGAGGGCAGCCCCCGACGCTTGGAGCCACCACACCCTGGACCGCACCCTGGGCCGCGAGGCCGGAAGGAGGAGACGCGCCCGCGCCGGCTCCAGCCCGCGGAGGAAGGGGCTGCGCCCCCCCGACCCGCCCTCACCTGGGGAGCAGCACCCACAAGCGCACTAGAACAAAGCTGACTCGCCGACTTCGGTCTCTGCAGCTTGAGAACACCTCAAAACAAAAATCCTGTGACTGCCGATTCCCAGAGCACACGCACACGGCCCCTCGGTTCAGAAAACGTGCTTCCTCCCCGGGATGACAGAGACTCCTCCAACCGAAGCCCCACAGCAGCAGGACGCTGCCGCGCCCGCGGGGCCCTGCTCCGCCTGCCCTTGTGCGTCCCCCACTGACACAGCGGGACTCCACAGGCCCGAGAATGCTGTCGGCTCATCGATGACTTAATCCTCAGTTTCCAAATAAAAACTACCCCCAGGATCCATTCTAACAGCACCAGGATATAGACAGAGAACGGAGAAAGGGACGGAAGATTACCACTGCGGATGCCTCCCTGTCTCCGCACAGATGCACAGCCGGGTGCCCAGCACCCCCTCGACTCCGGTATCGGGGGGCCCCTGACAGCGCAGGCAGCGTCCTTAGCGGGGATGAGATGGACACACACCAATCCTGCCCTCCAAACGGGACCCGAAGCCCACACTCCACCCTCAGGGATTTCCCACCACTGCCAAACCACATCAGGCTGGCCCGCTCCCGCAGCGTGTGCCCTGCAGACCGGATGAACTCCTCTGAGCAGCATCCCAGCAGAGGGATGGGGAGGGCAGGCTGAGCTAGCTGGGGATGTGACTGAGCCAGAACAAGATGTGGGGACACGCAGGCTATGGAAACATCTGTTGGGTGGCTTGGCTCTCGGTGTCCAGTTTTGGATCTTCCCTTTAAGCCCAGCACACGGATTCTCTCTGCGGCCCTTCCCCTCACGCCACCCCCGCCCCGCCTCGTTTCCCAGCAGGCACACACTGTTTGCCCCTTACCTGGCTGGAAACCTCGTATTCCACATGCTTCAGGAAAAGGCCCTTCTTTTCGGGAATGAGCTCCACCTGCACAGTGTCCCTGCCCAGTAGCTCCTGCAGGGTGTATGACAGCAGCAGCGGGTTCCCCTGCGGCATCTGCATTCGACTGGGGTGTGGGTCCCTCCGCTCGCTGACCTGGGGCGTGGGCAAGTCTGGAGAAGGGAAAGCAAATGGCCAATAAAAACAGCTGCTCAGAAAGTGGAGGCTGCCACCAGCCGGCCCTCCCTCCACCGTGTGCTCACTCAGCACCGGACTGTGGCCACGTCAACCCCCGTTCATTCATGCCGCGGAGCTGGCGCTCAGGGGCACCTCCTTCTGCTCCTAACAATCACCACGCCGTGATGTGTCCAGCCGCCTATGAATCAGCAAATACACCCACAGATCCAGGACCAGTCGGATCTAGTTTTCAACTTGGACAGAAAAAAAGTGAACTATTTACAAGTTTCATGAAAAAGAGCCCTCCTTTTCTCTGGAGTCCAGAAGAAGGTTAGAACCAAAGAAAGAGCCATATAATTTCTCTGTCCCACTGTTTTTACAGTGAACACACATTACTCCGTGTGCCAAAACATTCCAATTCCATGTAGGTAAAAAACCCACATGCTTGCTTAGAGCTAGGATTCCCAATCACACAAGTCAAAGAATCACACCCTCAAACCTCAGCTTCCCTACAGACAAGGAGTCACCCACACCTCACTCACAGAGCAGCAAAAGACAGATCAGAGAGATCACAGGCTAATAAACACGGAAGTCACATTAAAAAGTCGTTTGGTTTTTAGTACAAAAAGTTCTAAAGAAACGAAATTCTTTTTGGTTAAAAAACATAGTAAAGTTAAGGTACCCCACAGAGGGGGAGGGGGTCTTACTCTAACCAACACTGCTATAAACAACCACAACAAAATGTAGATTTCTTCCTCTTTTTTCCAAATTTTCTACAACGTGGTTGTATCATTTTTCATAATTTACTTCTTAAAACAACACTTCAAAGTAAGGTTGTGGTTGATATCCTAAACAGAATTAATGACTAAACTATTTTCATCTGAGAAATTACTCAGCATTTTAGAATTTAAAATGTAGTTGCCTTGGGACACCTGGGTGGCTCAGTCAGTTGAGCGTCTGCCTTTGGCTCAGGTCATGATCCCGGGGTCCTGGGATCGAGTCCCGCGTCGGGCTCCCTGCTCAGCGGGGAGCCTGCTTCTCCCTCTCCCTCTGCCTGCAGCTCCCCCTGCTTGTGCTTGCTCTCACTTCTCTCTCTCTGACAAATACAGTCTTAAAAAAAATTTTTTTTAATAAATAAGGATACAAAATGTAGTTGCCTTTAATTGACCTTAAAGCTTAAAACAAAATAAACTAAGGCCTTAATGCTTACTTGGGGACCCCAAGGGCCTCATAAAAACTCCACACAAAAACTCAACCTTACGTGCTCTAAAGCAGTAAGCTCCCAAGTGAGGGAACATACCCTAGGGTGAAAACCATCCACAGGACGAAGAAAACAGAAGCAAATCTAGTCGTATTTTCATCTCTCGTTTTACAATTTACATTCCGGTGACATCACATAACATACATAATACAGTAGTACGACGCACGCACATAACTTACTAAAACTTGTACTGTGTAGATGCATGTACACACATGTGTACGGTGTACATGAGTGTGAAGTACGTGTGCATATGCGAGCATGCGTGTGCACGAGTGTATATATACAGGATAATGTACATGTGTATAAGTGTAAATGTGCACGTGTGTGTGTGCGTGGGTATATGTGTGCATGAGTGTGACTGTGTATACAGGGAATGCATACATGTGTGCATGGGGTGTGTACATGTGTATACGTGTAAATGTGCACGTGTGTGTGTACGTGGGTATATGTGTGTGCATGAGTGTGACTATATGTGTATACAAGGAGTGCGTACACGTGTGCATGGGGTGTGTACATGTGTTTAAGTGTAAATGTGCACGTGTACGTGGGTGTGTGTGTGCATGAGTGTGACTGTGTATAAAGGGAGTGTGTACACGTGTGTGCGTGGAGTGTGTACATGTGTACAAGTGGAAATGGTGCACATGTGTGTGCATGAGTGTGACTATATGTGTATACAGGGAGTGCGTACACGTGTGTGCATGAGGTGTGTACATGTGTATTATAAGTGTAAATGTGCACGTGTGTACATGGGTATGTGTGTGCATGAGTGTGACCGTGTATACAGGGAGTGCGTACACGTGTGTATGGGGTGTGTACATGTGTATGTGTAAATGTGCACGTGTGTGTACATGGGTCTATGTATGTGCATGAGTGTGACTATGTGTATACAGGGAGTGCATACACGTGTGTGTATGGGGTGTGTACATGTGTATAAGTGTAAATGTGCACGTGTATAAGCATGTACGTGTATGTCATGGGTGTGCACACATGAGTGTGTGTACATGTGTGTATGTAAGTATGTGTGCATATATTAAGAGTCCCCAATATCTTAATGGCCAAAATGTGGAGACCACAGCTCCAGAAGGTTCTCCCATCCTAATAACCCAGCCCCTTTCTGTGTAAAAATATTCTGATGGCCTTAAACTGTGTTTACCCAGTCTCTTTAGGGACCACATGTACTCTCGGTCAACAAGCCAACAAGTGTTTCTCAAGTACCCACTTGAGTACAGTAACGAACAGCTCAGGGTCACTGAGCTCATTAATAAACATTAAGCACACGGCTACAGATGGTCCCCAAGGCTGGGCACAATCCGTGAGGATCCAAACTCCAGGGCGAATGGGAATCCCACTGTGACGTAACTTTATGAGTACAGTGATAATGAGAGAGGGGGCCCAGACGCGGCGCCTGAGCCCCAACTCCAGGGGATGCATCCCAGCTGCTGGGGGGCCTGGCACGCAGAAGAACCTTAAGGAAAGCTTGCCAAATGACTATCTGCTGCTATTTACTGCATTTTCAGGAGTGAAAAGCAGCATGTCTGGGAAAACAAAGTCTTGTGTAACTAGAGCACAGAATATGTGGAAAGACAGGAAAAAGTGAAGCAAAAGGTAACTGGAAGAATATTTTTATCAGAGAAAAGATATGCAAATACATGTATCTGAGGAGGGACTTATATCTGGAATACATAAAGAACTCTTAGAACACAGTAGAAATAAAGAGACAACCCAATTTAAAAATGGGCAAAGGATTTGCATAGACATTCCTCCAAAGATACACCAGTGGCCAAAAAGCACATAAAAAGGTGCTCAACATCACTGACTGTCATGGAAATGCAAAGCACAACCAGAGTAAGATACCCCCCACTGTGACAGCTCTAATTTAAAAAAAGGACTAGTGAACATTGGCCAGGACGTGGAAAAGCCTCACACATGCTGGCAGAGGCTGGCCTCAAGAACAGCCTGGCACGTCCTCACAACATGAGGCAGAGCCCCTCTGTGAGCCCACAGTTCCACTCCTGTAAGTATACCTGAGACGTGAACACGGGTGTCCACACAGAGACCTGTAGACAAACATCCACGGCAGCATTGTTCATAGGATCCAGAAAGCGGAAAAACCCAAACGCCCACCAACTGTCAGGGAATAAATAAAAGCGGTTTACTCATACAATGGATTATTAGTCAGCCGTACAAAGATTCATGCTATAAGATAGATGAACCTTGAAAACATGACGGTAAGTGAAAGAAGCCAGGCACAAGGGCGACGTATGGGATGAATCCGTGCAAACGTACAGAAACAATGCACACGGGTGCCTGCCTAGGGCTGGGGGTGGGGGGCAGTGATGGGAGAACACTGGGAAGTGAGGACTGGAAAATAAGGGGTTTCTCTGGCGGGTGATAAAATGCTCACGGCGAGGGGTGCACCACCCCGTGAACATGCCAACACTGCTATGTTGTGTCCTTTGCATGACTGAAGCGTATGGAACTCAAATGAGAACTACGAATGCCTTACATATAAAAGGTAGGTGACACCAGTAAGTGGCAGAATTAAGAACCTCCAAAATCCTCCCTTCGACAGAAGCAAAAATGGTCAGAACCCACTTTTTCAGAACACTGGAAATTGAAGATGTGTGGCAAGCCAGGGTATATTTATTGATGTGATAATTAGTTAAAATGAGGCCATACTGGGGGCACCCAGGTGGCTCAGTCGGCTAAGCATCTGCCTTTTGCTAGGTAATGATCCCAGAGTCCCAGGATCGAGTCCCATGTCAGGCTCCCTGCTCAGCGGGTAACCTGCTTCTCCCTCTCCCTCTGCCCCTCCTCTCTGCTCTTGCTCGCACTCTCTCCCTCAAACAAATTAATAAAATCTTTTTTTTAAGATTTTTTTATTTATTTATTCATGAGAGACGGGGGCGGGGGGCAGAGGGAGAAGCAGGCTCCCGCTGAGCAGGGAACTCGATGCGGGACCCGATCCCAGGACCCCAGGATCATGACCTGAGCGGAAGGCAGACACTTAACCATCTGAGCCACCCAAGAGCCCAATTAATAAAATCTTTTATAAAAAAAAAAAAAATCAGGCCATACTGGAGTAGGCAGACCCTCAATCCAGTATGACTGGAGTCCTCATAAGAAGAGGGAGGACCACATGAGGAGCCCAAGACACCCAACACAGGGGTGGGTACACAACCGCAGAGGCAGAGACTGAAGCCACACAGCCACAAGCCAAGGAATGCAGAGGGTGGCCCGCCACAGCCAGACTCTAGAAGCGGCAGGAAGGGACTCTCCGCTATGGGGTTCGGAGGGAAAGCAGCCTTGCCCACACCTGGATCTCAGACTTCCGACCTCCAGGGCTGTGAGACATTACTGCTGTTCCAAGCCATCCAATTTGTGGTGCTTTGTCATGGCAGCCATACGACACCCACACAAGAAACTTCACAGAATTCGTTCAGAGAGGTCATTAAATAAAGTCAACAATGATAAGCAGCAACACCTTGGGGAGGGAAGAAAATCTGATTTCGGAGTTGCCACACTGTATTATTTAAACTGTCCAGTTTACAACTAAAGTTTGTAAGACATGCAAAGAAACAAGAAAGGATGGCCAAACACGGGGGAAAAAACCACCACCAGAAACCGTCCTCAAGGAGGGCCAGGTATTGGACTCATTCAACAAAGACCTTACATCAGCTGTCTGAAAGAGGTTCCAAGATCTAAGAGGAACCATCTCTAAAGAACCAAGGGAAAGTAGGAGAACCAGGTCTCAGCAACAGAACATATCAATACACAGAAGTTGTACAAGAGAAGTGGATAAAAATTCTGGATTGGAGAAGCTCAATAAATGAAATGAAAAATTCACGAGAGGGACACAACCGCAGATCTGACTGGCAGATGGGAAGACAGGCCAACAGAGACTGTCTGGTCTGGAGGGGACAGGAAGGAGAGAGGAGGAGGGAGATGGACAGACCCTCAGAGACCTGTGGGGCACCATCAAGTGCACCAACATCATCATCATCATGAGAGGCCCAAAAGGAGAAAGGCTCAGAACAAATATTTGAAGGAACTGCTAAAATCTTCCCAAATTTGATTTTTTAAATCCCAGAACCCAAGAGGTGCCTGGGTGGCTCAGTCAGTTAAGTGTCTAACTCAGGTTTCAGCTCAGGTCATGATCTCGGGGTCGTAAGATCAAGCCCCATGTCAGGCTCCACCCTCAGTGCAGAGTCTGCTTGGGATTCCTTCCCTCTCCCTCCCCCTCTGTCCCTCCCTGCCCCTGTGCATGGGTGCACGCACCCTCCCTCTCTCTCTCTCTCAAATAAATAAAATCTTCTAAAAAAAAAAAAATCCAAGAACCCCAAAAACTCCCACTAAGATAAACCCAGGAAGATTTACACCTAGACAGATCACAACTGCAGTGTTCAAACCGTCCAGAGACAAACAGAAACTCTTGAAAGCACCAGGAGATCAGCAATTGGTAAAGATGAACAGC